CCCGTCGCGCGCCCTTCTGTCGCCCGAGCGGCTCCTACACCGCCCCCCCCGCCCCCCTTTCTCCTCCATCCCCCTGCTGCGGGTGCAGCAGTGGGGGGAGGGGATCTGCAGCACCAGCCCCCCCCGCCCCCCCCCTTCTCCTCCATCCCCCTGCTGCGGGTGCAGCACTGGGGGGGAGGGGATCTGCAGCACCAGCCCCCCCGCACCCCCCCCCTTTTCCTCCATCCCCCTGCTGCGGGTACAGCAGTGGGGGGGAGGGTATGGGGTTGGCGGGTGTGAGTGAACTGCTGCCGCCTCTCCTCCTCTCTATCCCACTGCTGCACATGCCACTTGGGGGGGGGGGGGAGGGAGGTGTGGGGGAGTTGAGGGAGTGGCGGTAGGGATGCTGAGGGGTGTGACAGGGAGGTTTGGGGGAATGGGGGAAGTTGTAGGGGGGTGGATGCCGTGAAGCCAGCAGCTCCATTTGCCCGTGAGACCGTTGCGCCAGTTGCCCGTGAGCCCGTTGCTCCTGTCGCCCGTGAGTCAGTTGCTCCAGCCACTCGCTTAGCCGCGGAGCCAGTTACTCCAGTTTCCCGTGTGCCAGTTGCTCCATTTGCCAGTGTGCCAGTTGCTCTAGTTGCCCATGTGCCAGCAGCTTCAGCCGCCACCCACCACCTCCTCTCCTCTCATGGTCCCTCCTCATCTTCACTTTCCCTCTCCTTCCTCCGCTGCGCTTGGTGTACCCCTTCAGGGGGTGCTGTTGCACATGGTTCTTACTGTAGGCAGCTAGGGGGTGTGTTGAAATGTATTTGTATACATAACTATACCTGCCTACAGTAGATCCTAGTGTAGCTATATTCCTTCTTGTTTTGGTGGTGCACCCCCTTCTTCCCCATATATGTTTCTGTTTTGTTATAGTGAAACCAATTCTTTCTCGACTTTTCTCTTGCCTAAACTCCCTCGATATTCAACCCTAGCATGGTTCCTACCCTCCTAGCTACTATATTGACACGCGAGGAGGAGGAGTACCGACAGAAGGTTGGCTCGCTGCAGTTCGCGGCGACGATGACGAGGCCAGACATCGCGTTCGCCTGCAGCAAACTGGGGAGCGAGCTCACGGTGAGGAGCGACCAGCACTGGCGTGAGGTCGACCGCTGCCTCGCCTACCTCGCTGACACCCGCGACACCGCCCTGGAGTTCGGCAGTGGACCAGAGTCGCTGGACCTGATCGGCTACGTGGACGCCGATGACGCGGGCGACAAGCAGAACCGGACGAGCACAGGAGGCTACGTGTTCGTCTACGGAGGGGCCGCCATCTCCTGGTCGAGCTCGCGCATCAAGTGCGCGACATTGTCGTCGACAGAGTCGGAGTATGTGGCGGCCACGGATGCAGGCAAGGAGGGACGCCGACTTCGTTTCCTTCTTGCAAAATTCAAGCTACTCGACGCTGGGAAGCCGACCATCCTCCGCGTCGACAACAAGTCGGCAATTACGGTCGCTGAGGGCTTGGGGCTGATGGGCAACCTCAAGCACATGGAGCGACGCTATGCGTGGCTGCAGCACATGGTGAGGCGCGGGAAGTTCGTGCTGAAGTACATCCCGACCACCGAGCAGCCGGCAGACTTCCTAACGAAGGCGCTGCATTTTCCGGCTTTCAACCGGTGCTCTGTCGCCATCGGCCAAGTTCGTTTGGCCGACGTCGGCGACGGCGACGATGATGTGCAGCAGAAGGTGCCGTGCCCTTATGCACGGTAGGTGCGGTGACGGCGTGTTGTGTATGGGGTGCACGCCGAGGACAAGTTTTCTCCATGGAGTACTACCGTGTGGGCTGGAGGCCCAAGCATGAGCACGGCAGGGGAGTGTTAACGGGAGTGGAGTGTTGGCCCCACCCTCGCTTGGGCAACGCCGACAACTTGGTTGGATGTACGGGAGTAGCAGCAGACCATTCACAGTGGGAGAGCTGCTCGACAGGCTTCGTCGACTGCAGGGGACCGCTGTGGTGTTGCTGTCGACCAGGGAGCTCGACAGCTGCAACTGACCGGTCTGGGCAATGGGTGGGCCGTCGACCAGGAAGGGCAATTCGACTGGGAGGTCGACGGAGTAGTCCGTCAACCTGCAGTTTGACTGGGAGGTCAACGGAGCAGTCTGTTGACCTCACAAGTGAGCAGCGGTCGACGAGGGGAGCTCGGAAATACTAGCTGACAGTTCTGGTCGACGGAAGGGATCCGTCGACTAGGGGGTAGCTCGACGGGAGCTGTGGTCGACCAGGGGCACCTGGTGGTCGACCAAAGGGACCCGGTGGTCGACCAGAGGCACTTGATGGTCAACCAGAGCACCTGGGGTTGTCCAGGTCGACCGGGTAACCTGCTCGGCGAGTTCTGCGGTGGCACGCGAACGTCGTCGAGGTCGCGATGGTAAAGGCAAATTCGGGCTAGTATCCTGAAGTCGATGTGGCTCGTCAGGCGCAGAAAACAGCCGACGGATGCACAACGGTGCAAGTCGGGCCAAACGTCTGCGCACACCTGTGAGCGTGCGCATTCCTGTCTTCTACAGAGCAACGCTGGACAGCCGCTCTGCTGCAGCGTTGGCACACCGTCAACCTGCTGTGATGGCAGGTCGCCTTTGTGCAGTGCTGGCGCGACTCCTCTACGCAACGCTGCCATGCGGTCGACCATGCTGTGCTATCGGTCGACCATGCTAGCTGCAAAGTTGCTAGGTGCCTGATGTAGTCATTGTTGTCATTGCTTGTTCTACTATTCTGTAATGTATACTTTGCTAGTGGAAACTCTTGCCGATTTCTCCCGTGATTGTGCAAGCACTAAGGAACTAGGCAAAGTTACGATCACTCGTAGTAGTTCGTGCCAACCCCCGTAGTCTAGCTCACTACCGTTGTAGAGTGAATCTCCGCAAATAGAAGCGAGGGGAATCAAAGTGAGGGGCACAGGGATGAGGGGGAATGAAAGTGAAGGGAAATTGAGTGAGGGGGAATACAAGTGAGGGGAAATGAAGTGAGGGGGAAGAGAGTGAGGGGGGATGGAAGTGAGGGGAAATGAAGTGAGGGGGAATGGAGTAAGAGGGAATGCAAGTGAGGGGAAAATGAGTGAGGGGAAATATAAGTGAGGGGGAATGGAAGTGAGGGGAAATAGAATGAAGGGCAATATTAGTGAGGGGAAATAAAGTGAGGGGGAATAGAGTGAGGGGGAACAGAAGTGAGGGGAAAAAGAGTGAGGGGAAATATAAGTAAGGGAAAATGCAGTGAGGGGGAAGAGAGCGAGGGGGAATGGAAGTGAGGGGAAACAAAGTGAGGGGGATAGGGATGAGGGGGAATGGAAGTGAGGGGATATTGATTGAGGGGGAATACAAGTGAGGGGAAATGAAGTGAGGGGAAAGAGAGTGAGGGGGGATGGTTTTGAGGAGAAATGAAGTGAGGGGGAATGGAAGTGAGGGGAAATAGAGTGAGGGGAAATAGAGTGAGGGGGAACAGAAGTGAGGGAAAAAAGAGTGAGGGGCAATATACTTGAGGGGAAGCGTTGTGAGGGGGAAGAGTGTGAGGGGGAATGGAAGTGAGGGGGACAGGGAAGAGGGGGAATGGAATTGATGGGAAATTGAGTGAGGGGGAAGACAAATGAAGGGAAATGAAGTGAGGGGGAAGAGAGTGAGGGGGGATGGAATTGAGGGTAAATGGAGTGAGAGGGAATGAAAGTGAGGGGAAAATGAGTGAGGGGGAATGGAAGCGAGGGGAAATAGAGTGAAGGGCAACATTAGTGAGTGGAAATCGAGTGAGGGGGAATAGAGTCAGGGGGAACAGAAGTGAGGGGAAAAAGTGTGATGGAGAATAAGTGAGGGGAAATGTAGTGAGGGGTAAGAGAGTGAGGGGAAATGGAAGTTAGGGGAAAAAAAGTGAGGGGGACAGGGATGAGGGGGAATAGAAGTAAGGGGAAATTGAGTGAGGGGGAATACAAGTGAGGGGAAATGAAATGAGGGGGGAGAGACTGAGGGGGGATGGAAGTGAGGGGAAATGAAGGGAGGGAGAATGGAGTGAGAGGGAATGAAAGTGAGGTGAAAATGAGTGAGGGGAAATATATGTGAGCGGGAATGGAAGTAAGGGGAAATAGAGTGAAGGGCCATATTAGTGAGTGGAAATAAAGTGAGGGGGAATAGAGTGAGGGGGATCAGAAGAGAGGGGAAAAAGAGTGAGGGAAAATTGAAGTGAGGGGAAACGTAATGAGGGGGAAGATAGTGAGGGGGAATGGAAGTGAGGGGAAACAAAGTGAGGGGGACAGGGATGAGGGGGAATGGAAGTGAGGGGAAATTGAGTGAGGGGGAATATAAGTGAGGGGAATTGAAGTGAGGGGGAAGAGAGTGAGGGGGGATGGAAGTGAGGGGAAATGAAGTGAGGGGGAATGGAGTGAGAGGGAATGCAAGTGAAGGGAAAATGAGTGAGGGGAAATATAAGTGAGGGGGAATACAAGGGAGAGGCAATAGACTGAAGGACAATACTAGTGAGGGGAAATGAAGTGAGGGAGAATAGAGTGAGGGGGAACAGAAGTGAGGGGAAAAAGAGTGAGGGGAAATATATGTGATGGGAAACTAAGTGAGGGGTAAGAGAGTGAGGGGGAATGGAAGTGAGGGGAAACAAAGTGAGGGGGACAGGGATGAGGGGGAATGGAAGTGAGGGGAAATTGAGTGAGGGGGAATACAAGTGAGAGGAAATGGAGGAAGGGGGAAGAGAGTGAGGGGGGATTGAAGTGAGGGGAATTGAAGTGAGGGGGAATGGAGTGAGAGGGAATGAAAGTGAGGGGAAAGTAGAGTGAATGACCATATTAGTGAGGGGAAATATAGCGAGGGGGAATAAAATGAGGGGGAAATTGAGTCAGAGGAAAACGAGTTAGGGGAAATATAAGTGAGGGGAAATGTGGTGAGGGGGAAGAGAGCGAGGGGCAATGGAAGTGAGGGGAAACAAAGTGAGGGGGACAGGGATGAGGGGGAATGGAAGTGAGGGAAAAAAGAGTGAGGGGAAATTAAAGTGAGGGGAAATGTAGTGAGGGGTAAGAGAGTGAGGGGGAATAGAAGTGAGGGGAAACAGAGTGAGGGGGACAGGGATGAGGGGGAATGGAATCAAGGGGAAATTGAGTGAGGGGGAATACAAGTGAGGGGAAATGAAGTGAGGGGGAAGAGAGTGAGGGGGGATGGAAGTAAGGGGAAACAAAGTGAGGGGGACAGGGATGTGGGGGAATGGAAGTGAGGGGAAATTGAGTGAGGGGGAATACAAGTGAGGGGAAATGAAGTGAGGGGGGAAAGAGTGAAGGGGGGTGGAAGTGGGGGGAAACAAAGTGAGGGGGACAGGGATGAGGGAGAATGGAAGTGAGGGGAAATTGAGTGAGGGGGAATACAAGTGAGGGGAAATGAAGTGAGGGGGAAGAGAGTGAGGGGGAATGGAAGTGAGGGGAAACAAAGTTAGGGGGACAGGGATGAGGGGGAATGGAAGTGAGAGGAAATTGAGTGAGGGGGGATACAAGTGAGGGGAAATGAAGTGAGGGGGAAGAGAGTGAGAGGGGATGGAAGTGAGGGGAAATGAAGTGAGGGGGAATGGAGTGAGAGGGAATGAAATTGAAGGGAAAATGAGTGAGGGGAAACATAAGTGAGGGGGAATGGAAGTGAGGGGGAATAAAGTGAGGGGGAAAAGAGTGAGGGGGAACAGAAGTGAGGGGAAAAAGAGTGAGGGGAGACAGTGAGGGGGAATGGAAGTGAGGGGGAATCAAGTGAGGGGGAATAGAGTGAGGGGGAACAGAAGCGAGGGGAAAAAGAGTGAGGGGAAAGAGAGTAAGGGGGAATGGAAGTGAGGGGAAATTGAGTGAGAGGGAATAGAGTGAGGGGGAACAGAAGCGAGGGGAAAAAGATATAGGGGAAAGAGAGTAAGGGGGAATGGAAGTGAGGGGAAATTGAGTGAGGGGGAATACAAGTGAGGGGAAATGAAGTGAGGGGGAAGAGAGTGAGGGGGAATGGAAGTAAGGGGAAACAAAGTGAGGGGAAATGTAGTGAGGGGTAAGAGAGTGAGGGGGAATGGAAGTGAGGGGAAACAAAGTGAGGGGGACAGGGATGAGGGGGAATGAAAGTGAGGGGAAATTGAGTGAGGGGGAATACAAGTGAAGGGAAATGAAGTGATGGAGAAGAGAGTGAGGGCGGCTGGAAGTGAGGGGAAATGAAGAGAGGGGGAATGGAGTGAGAGGGAATGAAAGTGAAGGGAAAATGAGTGAAGGGAATATAAGTAAGGGGGAATGGAAGTGAGGGGAAATAGAGCGAAGGGCAATATTTGTGAGGGGGAATAAAGTGAGGGGGAATAGAGTGAGGGGGAACAGAAGCGAGGGGAAAAAGAGTGAGGGGAAAGAGAGTAAGGGGGAATGGAAGTGAGGGGAAATTGAGTGAGGGGGAATACAAGTGAGGGGAAATGATGTGATGGGGAAGAGAGTGAGGGGGAATGGAAGTGAGGGGAAATAGAGCGAAGGGCAATATTTGTGAGGGGAAATAAAGTGAGGGGGAATAGAGTGAGGGGGAACAGAAGCGAGGGGAAAAAGAGTGAGGGAAAAGAGAGTAAGGGGGAATGGAAGTGAGGGGAAATTGAGTGAGGGGGAATACAAGTGAGGGGAAATGATGTGAGGGGGAAGAGAGTGAGGGGGAATGGAAGTGAGGGGAAACAAAGTGAGGGGGACAGGGATGAGGGGAAATGGAAGTGAGGGGAAATTGAGTGAGGGGGAATACAAGCAAGGGGAAATGAAATGAGGGGGAAGAGAGTGCAGGGGGATGGAAATTAGGGGAAATGAAGTGAGGGGGAATGGAGTGAGAGGGAATGAAATTGAAGGGAAAATGAGTGAGGGGAAATATAAGTGAGGGGGAATGGAAGTGAGGGGAAATAGTGTGAGGGAGAATAGAGTGAGGGAGAATAGAGTGAGGGGAAATATAATCGAGGGGAAATGTAGTGAGGCGTAAGAGAGTGAGGGGGAATGGAAGTGAGGGGAAACAAAGTGAGGGGGACAGGGATGAGGGGGAATGGAAGTGAGGGGAAACGAGTGAGGGGGAATACAAGTGAGGCGAAATGAAGTGAGGGGGAATGGAGTGAGAAGGAATGAAAGTGAAGGGAAAATGAGTGAGGGGAAATATAAGTGAGGGGGAATGGAAGTGAGGGGAAATAGAGTGAAGGGCAATATAATTGAGGCGAAATAAAGTGAGGGGGAACAGAAGCGAGGGGAAAAAGAGTGAGGGGAAAGATAAGTGAGGGGAAATGAAGTGAGGGGGAAGAGAGTTAGGGGGAATGGAAGTGAGGGGAAAGTAAGTGAGGGGGATAGGGATGAGGGGGAATGGAAGTGAGGGGAAACGAGTGAGGGGGAATACAAGTGAGGGGAAATGAATTGAGGGGGAAGAAAGTTATGGGGGATGGAATAAAGAGGAAATGAAGTGAGGGGGAATGGAGTGAGAGGGAATGAAAGTGAGGGGAAAATGAGTGAGGGGAAATATATTTGAAGGGGATTGGAAGTGAGTGAAATAGAGTGAAGGGCAATATTAGCAAGGGGGAATAAAGTGAGGGGGAATAGAGTGAGGGGGAACAAAAGTGAGGGGAAAAAGAGTGAGGGGAAATACAATTGAGGGGAAATGTAGTGAGGGGGAAGAGAGTGAGGGGGAATGGAAGTGAGGGGAAACAAAGTGAGGGGGACAGGGATGAGGGGGAATGGAAGTGAAGGGAAATTGAGTGAGGGTGAATACAACTGAGGGGGAAGAGAGTGAGGGGGAATGGAAGTGAGGGGAAATGAAGTGAGGGGGAATGGAGTGAGAGGGAATGGAAGTGAGGGAAAAAAGAGTGAGGGGAAATTAAAGTGAGGGGAAATGTAGTGAGGGGTAAGAGAGTGTGGGGGAATAGAAGTGAGGGGAAACAGAGTGAGGGGGACAGGGATGAGGGGGAATGGTTTTTAGGGGAAATTGAGTGAGGGGGAATACAAGTGAGGGGAAATGAAGGTAGGGGGAAGAGAGTGAGGGGGGATGGAAGTGAGGGGGAATGGAGTGAGAGGGAATAAAAGTGAGGGGAAATATATTTGAAGGGGAATCGAAGTGAGGGGAAATAGAGTGAAGGGCCATATTAGTGAGGGGAAATAAAGTGAGGGGGGATAGAATGAGGGGGAAATGAAGTAAGGGGAAAACGAGTGAGGGGAAATATAAGTGAGGGGAAATGTAGTGAGGGGGAAGTGAGTGAGGGGGAATGGATGTAAGGGGAAACAAAGTGAGGGGTACAGGGATGAGGGGGAATGGAAGTGAGGGGAAGTTGATTGAGGGGGAATACAAGTGAGGGCAAATGAAGTGAGGGGGAAGAGAGTTAGGGGGGATGTAAGTGAGGGGAAATGAACTGGGGGAGAATGGAGTGAGAGGGAATGAAATTGAGGGGAAAATGAGTGGGGAAATATAAGTGAGGGGGAATGGAAGTGAGAGGCAATAGACTGAAGGACAATATTAGTGAGGGGAAATAAAGTGAGGGAGAATAGAGTGAGGGAGAACAGAAGTGAGGGGAAAAAGAGTGAGGGGAAATATATGTGAGGGGAAATGTAGTGAGGGGGAATAAAATGAGGGGGAAATTGAGTGAGGGGAAAACGAGTTAGGGAAAATATAAGGGAGGGGAAATGTAGTGAGGGGGAAGAGAGTGAGGGGGAAGGGAAGTGAGCGGAAACAAAGTGAGGTGGACAGGGATGAGGGGGAATGGAAGTGAGGGGAAATTGAGTGAGGGGGAATACAAGTGATGGGAAATGGAGGGAGGGGGAAGAGAGTGAGGGGGGATGGAAGTGAGGGGAATTGAAGTGAGGGGGAATGGAGTGAGAGGGAATGAAATTGAGGGGAAAGTAGAGTGAAGGGCCATATTAGTGAGGGGAAATAAAGTGAGGGGGAATAAAATGAGGGGGAAATTGTGTGAGGGGAAAACGAGTTAGGGGAAATATAAGTGAGGGGAAATGTAGTGACGGGGACGAGAGTGAGGGGGAATGGAAGTGAGGGGAAACAGAGTGAGGGGGACAGGGATGAGGGGGAATGGAAGTGAGGGGAAATTGAGTGAGGGGGAATACAAGTGACGGGAATTGAAGTGAGGGGGAAGAAAGTGAGGGGGGATGGAAGTGAGGGAAAATGAAGTGAGGGGGAATGGAGTGAGAGGGAATGAAAGTGAAGGGAAAATGAGTGAGGGGAAATATAAGTGTGGGGGAATGGAAGTGAGGGGAAATAGAGTGAAGGGCAATATTAGTGAGGGGAAATAAAGTGAGGAGGAATAGAGTGAGGGGGAACAGAAGCGAGGGAAAAAAGAGTAAGGGGAAAGATAGTAAGGGGGAATGGAAGTGAGGGGAAATTGAGTGAGGGGGAAAACAAGTGAGGGGAAATGAATTGAGGGGGAAGAGAGTGAGGGGGGATGGAAGTGAGGGGAATTGAAGTGAGGGGGAATGGAGTGAGAGGGAATAAAAGTGAGGGGAAAATGAGTGAGGGGAAATATATTTGAAGGGGAATCGAAGTGAGGGGAAATAGAGTGAAGGGCCATATTAGTGAGGGGAAATAAATTGAGGGGGGATAAAATGAGGGTGAAATGAAGTGAGGGGAAAACGAGTGAGGGGAAATATAAGTGAGGGGAAATATAGTGAGGGGGAAGAGAGTGAGGGGGGAATGGAAGTAAGGGAAAACAAAGTGAGGGTGACAGGGATGAGGGGGAATGGAAGTGAAGGGAAATTGATTGAGGGGGAATACAAGTGAGGAGATGAAGTGAGGGGGAAGAGAGTGAGGGGGGATGGAATTGAGGGGAAATGAAGTGAGGGGGAATGGAGTGAGAGGGAATGAAAGTGAAGGGAAAATGAGTGAGGTGAAATATAAGTGAGGGGGAATGGAAGTGAGGGGAAATAGAGTGAAGGGCAATATTAGTGAGGGGAAATAAAGTGAGGGGGACTAGAGTGAGGGGGAACAGAAGCGAGGGGAAAAAGAGTGAGGGGAAAGAGAGTTAGGGGGAATGGAAATGAGGGGAAATTGAGTGAGGGGAAATACAAGTGAGGGGAAATGATGTGAGGGGGAAGAGAGTGAGGGGGAATGGAAGTGAGGGAAAACACAGTGAGGGGGACAGGGATGAGGGGGAATGGAAGTGAGGGGAAATTGAGTGAGGGGGAATACAAGTGAGGGGAAATGAAGTGAAGGAGAAGAGAGTGAGGGGGGATGGAATTGAGGGGAAATTGAGTGAGGGGGAATGGAGTGAGGGAATGAAATTGAAGGGAAAATAAGTGAGGGGAAATATAAGTGAGGGGGAACGGAAGTGAGGGAAATAGAGTGAAGGGCAATATTATCGAGTGAGGGAGAATTCAGTGAGGGGGAACAGAAGTGAGGGGAAAAAGAGTGAGGGGAAATATAAGCGAGGGGAAATGTAGTGAGGCGTAAGAGAGTGAGGGGGAATGGAAGTGAGGGAAAATAGAGGGCAATATTATTGATGCGAAATAAAGTGAGGGAGAATATAGTGAGGGGGAACAGAAGTGAGGGGAAAAATAGTGAGGGGAAAGATAAGTGAGGGGAAAGATAAGTGAGGGGAAATGTAGTGAGGGGGAAGAGAGTAAGGGGGAATGGAAGTGAGGGGAAAGTAAGTGAGGGGGATAGGGATGAGGGGGAATGGAAGTGAGGGGAAATTGAGTGAGGGGGAATACAAGTGAGGGGAAATGAAGTGAGGGGGAAGAGAGTGATTGGGGATGGAATAGAGGGGAAATGAAGTGAGGGGGAATGGAGTGAGAGGGAATGAAAGTGAGGGGAAAATGAGTGAGGGGAAATAAATTTGAAGGGGATTGGAAGTGAGTGAAATAGAGTGAAGGGCAATATTAGCAAGGGGAAATAAAGTGAGGTGGAATATAGTGAGGGGGAACAAAAGTGAAGGGAAAAAGAGTGAGGGGAAATACAATTGAGGGGAAATGTAGTGAGGGGGGAGAGAGTGAGGGGGAATGGAAGTGAGGGGAAACAAAGTGAGGGGGACAGGGATGATGGGGAATGGAAGTGAGGGGAAATTGAGTGAGGGGGAATACGAGTGAGGGGAAATGAATTGAGGGGGAAGAGAGTGAGGGGGGATGGAAGTGAGGGGAATTGAAGTGAGGGGGAATGGAGTGAGAGGGAATAAAAGTGAGGGGAAAATGAGTGAGGGGAAATATATTTGAAGGGGAATCGAAGTGAGGGGAAATAGAGTGAAGGGCCATATTAGTGAGGGGAAATAAATTGAGGGGGGATAAAATGAGGGTGAAATGAAGTGAGGGGAAAACGAGTGAGGGGAAATATAAGTGAGGGGAAATATAGTGAGGGGGAAGAGAGTGAGGGGGGAATGGAAGTAAGGGAAAACAAAGTGAGGGTGACAGGGATGAGGGGGAATGGAAGTGAAGGGAAATTGATTGAGGGGGAATACAAGTGAGGAGATGAAGTGAGGGGGAAGAGAGTGAGGGGGGATGGAATTGAGGGGAAATGAAGTGAGGGGGAATGGAGTGAGAGGGAATGAAAGTGAAGGGAAAATGAGTGAGGTGAAATATAAGTGAGGGGGAATGGAAGTGAGGGGAAATAGAGTGAAGGGCAATATTAGTGAGGGGAAATAAAGTGAGGGGGACTAGAGTGAGGGGGAACAGAAGCGAGGGGAAAAAGAGTGAGGGGAAAGAGAGTTAGGGGGAATGGAAATGAGGGGAAATTGAGTGAGGGGAAATACAAGTGAGGGGAAATGATGTGAGGGGGAAGAGAGTGAGGGGGAATGGAAGTGAGGGAAAACACAGTGAGGGGGACAGGGATGAGGGGGAATGGAAGTGAGGGGAAATTGAGTGAGGGGGAATACAAGTGAGGGGAAATGAAGTGAAGGAGAAGAGAGTGAGGGGGGATGGAATTGAGGGGAAATTGAGTGAGGGGGAATGGAGTGAGGGAATGAAATTGAAGGGAAAATAAGTGAGGGGAAATATAAGTGAGGGGGAACGGAAGTGAGGGAAATAGAGTGAAGGGCAATATTATCGAGTGAGGGAGAATTCAGTGAGGGGGAACAGAAGTGAGGGGAAAAAGAGTGAGGGGAAATATAAGCGAGGGGAAATGTAGTGAGGCGTAAGAGAGTGAGGGGGAATGGAAGTGAGGGAAAATAGAGGGCAATATTATTGATGCGAAATAAAGTGAGGGAGAATATAGTGAGGGGGAACAGAAGTGAGGGGAAAAATAGTGAGGGGAAAGATAAGTGAGGGGAAAGATAAGTGAGGGGAAATGTAGTGAGGGGGAAGAGAGTAAGGGGGAATGGAAGTGAGGGGAAAGTAAGTGAGGGGGATAGGGATGAGGGGGAATGGAAGTGAGGGGAAATTGAGTGAGGGGGAATACAAGTGAGGGGAAATGAAGTGAGGGGGAAGAGAGTGATTGGGGATGGAATAGAGGGGAAATGAAGTGAGGGGGAATGGAGTGAGAGGGAATGAAAGTGAGGGGAAAATGAGTGAGGGGAAATAAATTTGAAGGGGATTGGAAGTGAGTGAAATAGAGTGAAGGGCAATATTAGCAAGGGGAAATAAAGTGAGGTGGAATATAGTGAGGGGGAACAAAAGTGAAGGGAAAAAGAGTGAGGGGAAATACAATTGAGGGGAAATGTAGTGAGGGGGGAGAGAGTGAGGGGGAATGGAAGTGAGGGGAAACAAAGTGAGGGGGACAGGGATGATGGGGAATGGAAGTGAGGGGAAATTGAGTGAGGGGGAATACGAGTGAGGGGAAATGAATTGAGGGGGAAGAGAGTGAGGGGGGATGGAAGTGAGGGGAAATGAAGTGAGGGGGAATGAGTGAGACGGAATGAAAGTGAGGGGAAAATGAGTGAGGGGAAATATATTTGAAGGGGAATGGAAGTGAGGGAAAATAGAGTGAAGGGCAATATTAGCAAGGGGAAATAAATTGAGGGGGAATAGAATGAGGGGGAACAAAAGTGAGGGGAAATACAATTGAGGGGAAATGTAGTGAGGGGGAAGAGAGTGAGTGGGAATGAAAGTGAGGGGAAACAAATTGAGGGGGACAGGGATGAGGGGGAATGGAAGTGAAGGGAAATTGAGTGAGGGTGAATACAAGTAAGGGGAAATGAAGTGAGGGGGAAGAGAGTGAGGGGGGATGGAAGTGAGGGGAAATGAAGTGAGTGAGAATGGAGTGAGAGGGAATGAAATTGAAGGGAAAATGAGTGAGGGGAAATATAATTGAGGGGGAATCGAAGTGAAGGGAAATAGAGTGAAGGGCAATATTAGCAAGGGGAAATAAAGCGAGGGGGAATAGAGTGAGGGGGAACAAAAGTGAGGGGAAAAAGAGTGAGGGGAAATACAATTGAGGGGAAATGTAGTGAGGGGGGAGAGAGTGAGGGGGAATGGAAGTGAGGGGAAACAAAGTGAGGGGGACAGGGATGATGGGCAATGGAAGTGAGGGGAAATTGAGTGAGGGGGAATACGAGTGAGGGGAAATGAAGTGAGGGGGAAGAGAGTGAGGGGGGATGGAAGTGAGGGGAAATGAAGTGAGGGGAAATGAGTGAGACGGAATGAAAGTGAGGGGAAAATGAGTGAGGGTAAATATATTTGAAGGGGAATGGAAGTGAGGGAAAATAGAGTGAAGGGCAATATTAGCAAGGGGAAATAAATTGAGGGGGAATAGAATGAGGGGGAACAAAAGTGAGGGGAAATACAATTGAGGGGAAATGTAGTGAGGGGGAAGAGAATGAGTGGGAATGAAAGTGAGGGGAAACAAATTGAGGGGGACAGGGATGAGGGGGAATGGAAGTGAAGGGAAATTGAGTAAGGGTGAATACAAGTAAGGGGAAATGAAGTGAGGGGGAAGAGAGTGAGGGGGGATGGAAGTGAGGGGAAATGAAGTGAGTGAGAATGGAGTGAGAGGGAATGAAATTGAAGGGAAAATGAGTGAGGGGAAATATAATTGAGGGGGAATCGAAGTGAAGGGAAATAGAGTGAAGGGCAATATTAGCAAGGGGAAATAAAGTGAGGGGGAATAGAGTGAGGGGGAACAAAAGTGAGGGGAAAAAGACTGAGGGGAAATACAATTGAGGGGAAATGTAGTGAGGAGGAAGAGAGTGAGGGGGAATGGAAGTGAGGGAAGCAAAGTGAGGGGGACAGGGATGAGGGGGAATGGAAGTGAGGGGAAATTGAGTGAGGTGGAATACAAGTGAGGGGAAATGAAGTGAGGGGAAATGAAGTGAGGGGGGATGAAGTGAGAGGGAATGAAAGTGAAGGGAAAACGAGTGAGGGGAAATATAAGTGAGGTGGAATGGAAGTGAGGGGAAATAGAGTGAAGGGCAATATTAGTGAGGGGAAATAAAGTGAGGGGGAATAGAGTGAGGGGGAACAGATGCGAGGGGAAAGATAAGTGAGGGGAAATGTAGTGAGGGGGAAGAGAGTAAGGGGGAATGGAAGTGAGGGGAAATTGAGTGAGGGGGAATACAAATGAGGGGAAATGAAGTGAGGGGGAAGAGAGTGAGGGGGGATGGAAGTGAGGAGCAATGAAGTGAGGGGGAATGGAGTGAGAGGGAATGGAAATGAGGGGAAAAAAAGTGAGGGGGACAGGGATGAGGGGGAATGGAAGTGAGGGGAAATTGAGTGAGGGGGAATACAAGTTAGGGAATTGAAGTGAGGGGGAAGAGAGTGAGGGGGGATGGAAGTGAGGGGAATTGAAGTGAGAGGGAATAGAGTGAGAGGGAAGGAAAATGAGGGGAAAATGAGTGAGGGGAAATATATTTGAAGGGGAATAGAAGTGAGGGGAAATAGAGTGAAGGGCCCGTATTTGCGAGGAAGAATAAAATGAGGGGGAACAAAAGTGAGGGAAAATAAAATTGAGGGGAAATGTAGTGAGGGGGAAGAGAGTGAGGGGGAATGGAAGTGAGGGGAAATAAAGTGAGGGGGACAGGGATGAGGGGGAATGGAAGTGAGGGGAAATTGAGTGAGGTGGAATACAAGTGAGGGGAAATGAAGTGATTGGGAATGAAGTGAGATGGAATGCAAGTGAAGGGAAAATAAGTGAGGGGGAATGGAAGTGAGGGGAAACAGAGTGAAGGGCAATATTAGTGAGGGGAAATAAAGTGAGGGGGAATAGAGTGAGGGGGAACAGAAGCGAGGGGAAAAAGAGAGAGGAAAAATAAGTGAGGGGAAATTTTGTGAGGGGGAAGAGAGTAAGGGAGAAAGGAAGTGAGGGGAAATTGAGTGAGGGGGAATAAAAATGAGGGGAAATGAAGTGAGGGGGAAGAGAGTGAGGGGGGATGGAAGTGAGGTGCAATGAAGTGAGGGGGAATGGAGTGAGAGGGAATGGAAGTGAGGGGAAATGTAGTGAGGGGTGAGAGAGTGAGGGGGAATGGAAGTGAGGGGAAACAAACTGAGGGGGATAGGGATGAGGGGGAATGGAATTGAGGGTAAATTGAGTGAGGGGAAATGAAGTGAGGTGGAATGGAGTGAGAGGGAATGGAAGTGAGGGGACAAAGAGTGAGGGGAAATAAAAGTGAGGGGAAATTTAGTGAGGGGTAAGAGAGTGAGGGGGAATGGAAGTGAGGGGAAATTGAGTGAGGGGGATACAATTGAGGGGAAATGAAGTGAGGGGGAAGAGAGTGAGGGGTGATGGAAGTGAGGGGAAATGAAGTGAGGGGGAATGGAGTGAGAGGGAATGAAATTGAAGGGAAAATAAGTGAAAGGAAATATAAGTGAGGGGGAATGGAAGTGAGAGGAAATAGAGTGAAGGGCAATATTAGTAAGGGAAAATAAAATGAGGGGGAATAGAGTGAGGGGGTACAGAAGCAAGTGGATAAAGAGTGAGGGGAAAGATAAGTGAGGGGAAATGAAGCGAGGGGTAAGAGAGTAAGGGAGAATGGAATTGAGGGGAAATGAAGTTAGGGGGATAGGGATGAGGGGGAATGGAAGTGAGGAGAAATATATTTGAAGGGGAATGGAAGTGAGGGAAAATAGAGTGAAGGGCAATATTAGCCAAGACTAAAGGTGTAACCTGTGACGAACGCTGAGTCGCCTGGTCGTCGGCCCAAGAAGCGTCGGAGTGTCTTGTGAGTACCACTGAACCGTGTTCTCCAAGCATGAGCCCCATGTCCGATGTACTCCACAAGTAACGCAGTACCCTCTTTGCAGCATCCCAGTGCACCTTTCGGTGTCTACCGGGAGCCACGTAGCGAGCCAGGAGGCTAAGAGGGTATGCGAGGTCAGGTCGTGTGCACGTCATCAGGTACATGAGGCAACCCACAAGCTCTGGGTACGGACCACTCGGCTCTACGGACTCGTCCGAAGGTGGAGCTGAGAGCGAGTGGCCGGTAGACAGAGGAGTGGGCTGTGGCGAGGAGAAATGGAAGGCGTAGTGCTGAAGGACCTGGTGCACCATGTGTGACTGAGTCAGGGTGATGGTGCGCCGTGCTCTGTCCCAGGTGATCTGCAAGCCAAGATTGCTACACAGCTCACCCAAGTCAGTGCAGGTGTATCTCTCCTGCAGCTCCGCATTCACTAGGGCCAGCGCCTCAGTGTCAGGAGTAGCAAAAACCAAGTCGTCGACGTACACGAGAATAAAGAACGGCGGCAGGGTAGTGTCGGTGCGTAGAAACAGCGACGGGTCAGCAGAGAAAGGAGCAAACCCAAGAGCCGCAAGTGTAGTCATCTGTGTGTCGTGCCACTCTCGGGGCGCCTGACGGAGACCTTAGACTGGCCGTCGGAGGCTCCACTGGGTATCCGCAGGAAACGACCCAGTGAAGCCAGGTGGGCGGCGTGGCCAGATCTCCTCGTGAAGGCTTCCCTACAAGAAAGCTGTGGAGAAGTCGAGAGAGTGCAGCTCGTAGTCACGTTGTGCTGCAACGTGCAGTAGCACCCGAAGAGTAGTCATCTTTGGGGTGGGGGAGAAGGTCTGGAAGAAGTTGACCCCCTGTTGCTGACTGAAGCCTCGAGCAACGTAACGCGCCTTGAAGGCAGGCGGAGAACCCGGCGGCCGCTTCACTCCGAAAATCCACATGCCATCGACTATGTTCGCCCCAGGAGGAGGAACCTCGTCGACGTAGGTGCCTGTGGACTTCCAGGAAGCCATCTCTGCGTCCGTGGCTGTCTGCCACTGAGAGGAGTACTCACCCGCGATCGCCTCAGCGTAAGAGCGCGGGGTAGGGATGTCAAGTGCATCCGGGTCTCCCTCAGGGCAAAGCAGAATGGATGCGAAACGAGGTAAATCGGCCGCAAGACAATCAAGCTCAAACTGTTTGTCCTCAAGTACGTCAATTAGCTGTGGCAGAGACTGGTCTGTCGGTGAACACAGGAGAGGTGGAGTGAGGCCAATGGAAGACGGGAGACTAAGAACCTGGCGAAGGACCGAGTCAGGTGGCGGCAGGGACGACTGCGGCTGCGGGTAGAAAAACAGTCAGCGCGGGGCGGAACCAGCAGCTCCAGCTCCTCCAGCACCACCAGCACCAGCACCTCCAGCACCCGCAGCTCCAGTAGCACCTCCAGCACCTCCAGCACCAGCAGCACCACAAGCTCCGGCAGTGCCAGGACCTCTAGCACCAGCAGTACCTCCAGCACCTCCAGTGCAAGCAGCTCCAGTAGCACCTCCAGCACCTCCAGCACCTGCAGCACCACCTGCTCCGGCAGCTCCAGCACCTCTAGTACGAGCACCTCCAGGACCAGTAGCTCCAGCACCTCTAGTACCTCCACTACCTCCACCTCCAGCGCCTCCAGCGCCTCCAACACCAGCAGTACCTCCATCACTTCAAGTGCCAGGAGCTCCAGTAGCACCTGTAGCACCTCCAGCACCTCCAGCACCAGCAGCACCACTTGCTCCGGCAGCTCCAGCACCTCTAGTACGAGCACCTCCAGGACCAGCAGCTCCAGCACCTCCAGTACCTCCAGTACCTCCAGCTCCAGCGCCTCCAGCACCAGTAGTACTACCAGCACCTCCACTGCCAGCAGCTCCAGTAGCACCTCCAGCACTAACATCACCACCAGCTCCGGCAGCCCCAGCACCTCCAGTACGAGCACCTCCAAGACCAGCAGCTCCGGCACCTCCATTACCTCCAGCTCCAGCGCCTCCAGCACCAGCAGCACCTCCAGCACCTCCAGCACCAGCTGTACCTCCAGGACTAGTAGGTCCAGCACCTCCAGCACCAGTAGCACCTCTAGGACTAGTAGCTCCGGCACCTCCAGCACCAGCAGCACCTCTAGTACCTCCAGCAGTACCTCCAGTACCTCTAGCACCAGCAGTACCTCCAGGACTAGCAGCTCCAGCACCAGCAGGACCGTACCCTCCACCACCAGGACTGCCTCGCCGAACGATCCACGCACGAATCGCCTGCGGCGAGAGTGTCTCAATTAGATTAGGCTGCGGTGGCTGTCCAACTCCAGGACCTCCAGCAGGGTCAACCACAGCTCGCCAAGGCCAACCTTTGCGAAGGCTTCCTTGCACCAGTTGCGGATTGTAGTGTATGAAGGTGGCCTTGCCTGACCTTTGCTAGTTGAAGCATGGCCGAAGACGTGAATCAACGGTCCTTCTGACTGAGGGCCATAGCCGGCGAGTTGGATGAAGCGTCGGGTACAGCGCACTGGGCAACAGGGGTCCGCTGTTGCTGCAATGGGAATCCATGTGCCATGACTGGCCTGATCAGTCTTGGAGTGTGGTATGAGGATCCACATGAACTCTTCGTCGAATTGAATGTCTTGCCACTTTATGGCCACTAGGTCGGAGTATCGCAGAAATCCAAAGTACATGAGGATGAGGATTAACCCTTTCTGGAATTCCGCAGGGTCGTCGGACCGCAGGTAACTGTCGACCATGTCTCAGACTTGTTGGTTCGATACGGGTTCCTTCAGACGAGTAGGGCGAAGGCAATGTCGTTTTGCACAGTCACGCACTTGGGTGGTGAATGGTCCGATTGTCGGGCATTTGCTCCTAGTCATGCGATGGGCAAAACTGACTGCCGAGCACGTCAGCTGCACTACGGACAGGGTGGCTTTACGTTGAATTGCGTGTACCAGGTATAGTGCGAGGGTCATGTCAGAATCTGGAAGAAAGGGAAGATGCACTTTTGTGCTAAAGGCTCGAAACTTGGCCCAGTATGGTTCGTATGTCTGGATCGTAGAGTCAGCGTGGGATTGTGCAAGCATGTTAATCAGTTGGTCGTGTAGCTTCGGGAGCAAATCTGAACACAGGCGCATACATTATGAATTAGTCAAAAACCACTCGCAGTGCAATGATTGGGCTGTGCGGTAGTCCCGTGCCTGAGAAGGCAGTGGAATGGGACCCTACATCTAGGCATTGGCTTCCGTGTGTCAGGGGGATGTGCGCGTGGATGTGCGGGGCCCAAGTGCATGGGGAGGGCTACAAAAGTGGCCACCAACTTGCGCCTGGCCAGTGCGGTAATATCAACGTAAGTGATGCATGGGTGCGTTGTGCATGGTAAAGGATGGCTGGGACCAATTGTGGTGGGGGAAAAGCGAAGTTATTTTCGGATGTCCATGCGATCGAGAACGCGTCAACTGCGATGGCTTCCGGGTGGGGAATCTTTGTGCAGAAGCGCGACAGTTGGGTGTTGCGGGAGTTGGCAAAGAGGTCGATAGAGTGGGGACCCCAACGACGTTCTAAGATGCAGAACCACGGCGTCTTCAATGCGTAATCATCGTGGTCGACCATTTTTGAAAGCTCGTCGGCGTGTGAGTTGAGCTCACGCGGAATCCATTCGATGATCAAGCGCGTGCCGAGCTCCATGCATGTACGGATGATGCTCTTGCAGGCCGTTGTGAGGTCGGGGCTACGAGAGCCGCCTTTGCGAAGGATGAAGAATACGCCCTGCTTGTCCACACGCACGGGAACGTGTTTCTGCTTAATCTTGTTGGCGTACGTTTGGAGCGCCCAAAGGACGCCTTCGATCTCCCGCCGCGTGTTAGATGTTGCTCGTAACGGCTCTGACATGGTTGTGCTAGCTTCTTCAAGGCCACCAGGGAATGTGGTCAGAGTGGCGCCCCAACCGTGAGAGCTGGCATCCACATGGATTACTGCATCGTAGCTGTTCCGGACGTGAAAGGGTGCACCGTTGAACCGGTCAAACTCCTCAAGCCAAAAGTGTAGCTCCGCTGCTGCGGATGGGGGAATGACCATGCTGCTTTTCCATGACAGTGCATCGTTGATCACTTGTAACATTGCGTGGCTGAATGCACGAGCGGTCGCGCCAAGTGCGACACCCATTGATGCGAGCATGCCTGTGATTCTGGCCACATGGCGGACCGGGACTGGTCGGCACGCATTGCTTGCGCTCAGGAGGTTTTGGATGGTTGAATGTAGCGAGGCTCGTCAATCGGGACCGATGGAGAATCGGCCGGTGCCTGTCTCAAGTTCTACACCCAACAATCGGAGGCGTTGTGATGGTGACAGCTGTCATTTCTTCGCGTTCATCACAAGTCCTGCCTCTTTAAGGTCCAATATCACCCGCTGGCAGATTGCTTGCGCATGGGCTTTCGACTGGCATAGAAATAAAATGTCGTCCACATAAGGTATGACTCGGATGCCTTGTTCTCGCCAACGCCGAGCTAGCTGTTTGATCAGCTGCGTGAAAACGAATGGAGCTGTCGCGAGGCCAAATGGCAGTGAACGGAATGCGTATGTGCGCTTGTCGAATTCAAAGCCAAGGAACTTCTAGCATGATGGGTGGATGTCGATGTGGTGGTATCCGGACTTAAGGTTGATGGAGAACATCCAGTCCCCAACGCGTGCCAGGTCGGCCACACGGCTGAGCCCCTCGTACTTGAACTTGGGGACAATCAAGTTGGCGTTGACTTTCCTCAGGTCAAGAATGAGTCTGCATTTGTCTTTTTGCTCGACTACGTTGAGTGGACTTACGCACGTAAGCTCCGTTGCGGGCATCGGGACTACTGCTCCGGTCTCTATGAGTTCTTGGATGGCGGTACGTGTGAACGTGGCATGCGTGTTCGCCCCAACATGGTTGCGATCGTGGAAGGGCTATGGTGGGCCGTGGCTCCATGGCAGCCAGTAGCCCTTGGCGATGACGGAGAGAACAAGGCTCCAGGGGCACCATGAACTCCACCACGCAAAGGTCGCAC